TTGTCAAATTAGCAAATATCTTTCAATGAAATCTGAAATAAGCTCAGTTACACAACTTTCTAGTATCTAATAAGTGAATGTTATGTCTCATTTAGATCATGTATACCCCTATGGCTTTCCCAGTTTTCAAATGCGATGAATGCGATTAAATTGTTTGCATTTCTTTCTAGTGAATTTCATAGCTTATTTAATTTTTCTAAAAATTTTCCTCAGCACAAAAAAAAATAAAAATTTATGGACTGATTGAAAGCTGGAGAAAGTCAATCTTGAAAATTAAACATAACAAATATATACATATAATTGGTTGCAGCATTAATTCAAGTATTATCTTTCTCAGCCCAGAAGCCTTGTTTACTATAAAAAGCAGATCATCGTCATGTAGTTTGTGAATTACTTAATTCCTGTAGCACGGGCTTCATTCCATGGGAATGAGAATTATTGCATACGATATTTTGGACGAAGAAATAGCATGTACAGGGAAAATTTTGATTTTCTATATATTTTTTTTCTTATGCAAGGGGAGGGACTAAAGATTTTGTGTAAGTGTAGTGTGTGATGACCAGTTTAGAATTTTTACCTTTATACTTTACTACGCTAGTTTAATACTAAAACACTGAGAGAATCCAATGTTTAGAATACAATCAAGTACATGAGGATTAGTTTTAAATCTAATATCTTAGAGGTCAGGTTCGTGGCCTCCTTGTCTATTTTAAATAAAATTTAGATTGGTATGTCTCATTGAACGTGTTTTTACAAACAATACACACACACAAAAACACAATCACACACACACACACACATATATGTATGTGACAAGAAACGGCAGCAACGTTATTTTTGCTTCTCAAAGAATTTAAAATATTTTGTTTCCACCGTTGATAATTGTCACTATCAAGCAACATTGGGACTAACGAAACATTGGTGTAATCGGCAGAGGTCAAAAAATATGGGAAGCTTGGATCATGGAACAAATCACCAGACGAGGAATATCCTGGATTCTGTGAATCGATTTGCTCCGCCATTATTCCAAGAGGTAACAAGAAGAAACAAAAAAAAAAGGTCAAAATATGGAGAGTAGATCAAGAAGGATTATTGCTCTGATACCATGACAAGAAACGGTAATCTTATTCATTGAAAAACCCAATCGGTCCTCTGGTACAATCGGAAGCTTATATAAAAAATTAGTAGCAGACTACTAGTCTAAGTAATAGATTCCTAGACTAGTTCTCCTAGCATGACATACTGGGGTATTATTGTACAACTAGTTTTATATAAGAACACAAAGACTAATTCGGATGAGGTACGCTAACAGTATGTGGATTGGAAATCTTTCTTTTTATTTTTTTTTGTAAGATATAGAGAATCACCTAAAAATATCTCTTTGTTCTGCTTTACTCTCTGTATTAAAAAAGTGTAACACTTAAGCCCTTTCATGTTTTTCTACTTTATTTGAGATATACTTCACTTTATGAGTTTATTTTTTTAATGTTTAATGAAACTAATTCGTGCCACCAAACTTGTAAGCCTCCTGAACTTGACATTAAAAAAAAAAAAATGAGGAGCACTTGCCATAAAAAGTTGTGGTTAACATTGACAAATCTTCAGCAGTAGTGATAGAACCCCTGATATTTGTAATATTTTAGCACAAGATTTTACGGGAATTTCATTCCCAAGACTTGAAAATTGCTAACCTTTATTCTTTTCAAGTATGTAATTGCTGTCATTTGTTTCGACAAATGTTCAAATGAAAACTTGTATTTGTCTCAAGAAGCAGCACTTGATTTGTGTTGCTTTTCAAACTAATCTGTCTTGTCATTTTTCGAGTTTCGAACTTTCTCTGAAAATATTATGAATAACTAAAGTATTAATGAGGTAATGTTGAATTCCCAATAAATTCTTGAATTCTTTGTCAGCATGGGCATGCTTGGTGTCCTTGTAACATGTTATTCCTTAAGGATGACTACATGTCGTTTAGGAACTCAAAAGCTCAGTCTATCCTTAAGGTTGGGGTAGCATTCTATCCTATTTTTAGATTGACAGCAAATAGGTTGCTATTCTTATATGTTGAATTTCAATGCATTTTCTTGAATTATCCGTCTCATAAAAAAAGCTCCAATTCAGAGTAATTTAAGATTTCATTATTCCCTAAACCTTAAACATTATCAACAGATACATGTCCATGAACTTCGTAATTAATAAGCTCATTACTTAGAGGTTGAAAATTCATTCTCTCAATTTTCCAAACCTTCTAGCACTAATTGTTTACTTCTTGTAGGGAAAACATGGTAGTTTGAAGAGACCATTTAGCTTGCATGCTCTACCAATGGTGTATTAATGTAGGTCATTATATTTAAGGAGGGGTTAAATCCATACCCCTCCATCACAAATTCACACCTTGTAGAACTTTTAATATTAAGAGCATAAGTTATCAATGCATATAGCACAAGTCATTGTTAATGCATTAGCATGTACAAAATTCTATACTAACTTAACTCATCCTAATCCTTCGAAACTTTCCAAACCTCAGTTAATTTAACGATAAAAGCAAATTAACAATAGTCATATTAAAAGATAAACAAAAAAATTCCTCTAAAAATTGCAGTTTAATTGGAAGTCAAAAAAAAAAAACACTAAAGAGAGGACATAGGAAGAACCCTACGAAGCCGTTGTCTCCATCTCCAATGGGTAGAGGCTTTCCCCTCTCCACCTCCATTGCAAAAGCTTTGCTGCAAGGTACTTTTCTAGTTTTTGATTTATTTAACACTTCTCAAATTATTGATTTCCATTATGTTGAAAACTGTAAGTTGTTGATCTTGGTGAAATAATTTCTATGAATTCAATTAATAGTAATACTTTTATCCTATGATGTGGTCATTCAGTATCCACTAAATTGATTTTCCATTGCCATTTAGATGTTTAAAGGGTAAACACTGTGTTGCTACACCTCTAAAAGAAAAAACAACACAGCCAACATCGTAGCACACTAGTCACCTTGTCTCCTTATTAAATGTGTTGCTGAAATCAAAACATAATTGAACGAATTTGTTTTGACCCCATCTCGAGCCTAGCCAAAAGCAGCCCAAAACAACAAAACAAAATTGGGAGATTAATAAGAATTCTACCATTGTGTCCCACTCCTCCAGCTACCAGCTATACTGCAATTTGAAAAAATAATTCAGTTCCTCTCATGTAACATGCAAAACCCACTACTTTTTTCCCTTTAATATCTTTGCCTTGATTATGTGGAGCCTACTTCTCCATTTTGGTTAAGAAAATGAGCCCACCAGTATCTCAACCCGTAAATACGGATTATGAAAGTAATGATTACCTTATTACATCCTCCGAATGCAAGGTTCAAAGTACATTGACGTAATTACTTGTGACAATACTGAATTGTCAGGTAATTAGCAGATTTGATATGGTCCATATTTTCTCCACAAGTACATGCTTCAGATACATAAATGGCTAATTTATGCATTGGTATATCTAAGGGATAAGAATAAGTTACATTGGTCAATGACATTAATAATAAGTTACACTTATAAAATTCTATGACCTTCCAATAAGGACAAGTCATTTGAAGTTTCCTAAGATATTAAAGACAAATTTGATTTTGCCACGAACCAATCGACGAAAAAAGTTAGTTTCTTTCAAAAAATAAATACTGAAGAGCTGATGCAAAAAAGGTAGCTAACAAAATAGCCCAATAAAGTACTCATGCAATTCTTCTTGTTAGTTTCTAATATAGAAGGCTTACTCCATTTCTACTAAAGTTTCAAACTTCATTAACATAATTAGTTTAACATGTTGCAACGGAGTGTCAATAAAGATGAACTCTTGTTCCTTCTACAGATCTCTGGCACCAGTTGTACTATTCAAGCATTACCTTGAGATTGCACATATGTCAAATTCTAAGATCTGCAACATGTATTAGCTAACAAAAAATACTCCAATCTTGAAACTCATGTATAGTCGTACAATTCACTCTCTATTTTATGTGAAAATACAAACTATCATGCATGAGGTAAAAACTTGTACATATTAAAATTAATTTAATCAGTTGGACATTATAAGTATTACAACCAAATCAGTTGAACATGCTGTTTATGACTCGCAATAGCTTTTTGGTAATTATAAGCTAAGGTATTATATATTGGTCTTCATTTTATTGTTGTATAACCTTTTCGATATTTTTTTGGATCATTATTCTTAATAGAATTTTGTGCATTTAATCATGTGAACTTTTCTAATGTTGCTTTTCCTGCTCATATGTCCCTATAAAACAGAGATGGAATGGAGAGGGAGACTGGGTCCTTTAATTGAAAGTCACTTCCAGTAAAGGTAGTCGTTTCGAAGATGAAGGCAGCAATATTCTTTAAATGAACATGTCTCAGCCTTCTCAGCCCCCAAATGCTATCACCATGAAGGTACTATGACCTCGTTACCTTTCAGTCCCTTAACAATAAAAATCTCTAGATTCGGTAAATTAGCTAATGATGGCGGAATAGAGTCAATATCACCACCAACAACTAGGTAGTGCAAATGAACAAGCAAATCTATTCCAGATGCAAAGGAATTGCCCATATTGATTGATTCCAAATCCAGCATTTTGAGAAGTTTAAAGTTTCTGGAAATGAATGAGACGTTATAAAGACATCTTGGATAGGCATCAGTGGTGGCAAAGTACAGCAGAGAATGAACATATGGGCCAGAAGGCCTGGACATAACAAAATTGTCAAAATCATGACTAGGATCAAAAGAAGCATAAGGTTAATCACTACTAATTATCAACTTGAAAAAAAGTTCTCCTTTTTAGCTTTTACCATATAGCCAAAAAATATTTACATACCATATCATGAGTCCGACATGCTTTGACACCACCGTTTGATGTTCTTTTTGAAACCATTATTAAGCTTCTACCTACCAGATCCATCAAATAGCTCTTTGGCTTCTTTTTCTGTATAAATCCTTCAGCCACCCATAGCATTATCAATCTTCGAACTCCAACCTCTTTGTCCCCTTGAAATAATCCATAATAGAGAAAGCATGCTTCCAGATGATCTGGCATGTAATTGTAACTCAATTCAAAGATGTCCATGCACCGAGTTTGTGGATTATTTATTATGATTGAGTTCAAACTCTCTGCAATTTGTTTCCACAACTCAGGTTTCTTGTGTGAACCTTGAAGCAGACCAGCTATTGCAACAACAGAAAGAGGTAATTCTTCACATTTTCTAGCAATATCCTTTCCAAGTTCCAATAGTTCCTAAGGACAGTCTTCTTTGGGATATATCTTCCTCTGCAGTAGCTCCCAGTTTTCAGCATCGGAGAGTAGACAAAGTTTAAGAAGATTACATTCAAGTGTGAGTTTCGACACCATGTCATCGAGACGACTTGTTATCAGAGCTCTACTTCCATTGGTGTCTTCTGGAAATGAGCTCTTCAAGTTATTCCATGGCCTGATACTCCACACATCATCCAAAATTATTAAATACCGATTTTTCTTCAAGTGTTTATCGAGAACCAACTCCAAATCTTCATTGGTCATTGTCAAGATATTATCTGTAAGCTCAATAATGTGCCATAAAACTTTAAGCAACAAGTCTCTTTTTGTGTACACTTGTGAAACATTGCACATTACACGAATGTGGAAGTAATATACAACTTCAGGATCATAATACACTTTATTGACCAGGGTTGTCTTACCTATTCCTGGCATTCCAACAATTGAAACTGTATCCAGCTGTGATGATCCCCTGGTAAGTCGATCAACTATGATTTGTTGCTGATTATTTGGCTCTGCTACATCTTCATTTATTTTAAAGGTACTCATCTGTGAGAATTCACGACCCATAGATTGCTTACCACTTTTGGCTCCCACCTCAAATGCCTCCTCTTGAAATGCAGCTACCTGCTCCTTGAAATGTCTAATATTTTCTGAGACATGGTAAAGCCATGACAAATTTTACCTTTCCGATCCATTGCCACCCAGAATTGAGTTAACAATGAATTCTGCCCTATAAGCTGCATCTACTAGAGTTGTTGCCAGATTCTGGATGTGTGAAGTCCTGTTCCTCGAGGAAAGATCTCAAGAATCCCAGATTCTCCAGGATTTCCTCAATGTGTTCTTTGAGAAAGACCATTGAATCAGAGTCAATTTTAAGCAACTCTTGTAGCTTTGTCAAGAGAATATCAATGAATCCTAGTCCATTAATCTTGGGGAACTTGATATGAGGAAGCTTGACATCAATCTTATCAATTACTTGCTTTGTTTATCTCTATCAAACTTGAAATCAGATCGCTCATATCCTTCATCATGCATCCCGTGAATTTGACAGAATTAAAGGAATGACAGAAATATAAAACACCCCTGGCCACTGATTCAATATGCATCAAGGTTGGTCCAAGTCCCTGAAGACGCGTTTCCCAAGCATAATTGTTATTGATGTTATAAGGAATTTCAGAGTTCCAATTTGATCCTTCACTGGGAGAATCAAAACATCATTACTGCCTATGAGATCCGTTAAATATACTTCTGACTTGAATACCTGTTAGGTCTGGCCTAGGAAATTGGCAAAAGGATTTGTAGCAACCCCCAAAGACAAATAACAAAACAGAAATAAGTAAAACAAAAACACAAGAATTTACATGGTTGGGTCAAATTGACCTACGTCCACGGGCGGAGGAGGAGCAATATTTTACTATGAAGAAGAGAGTACAAAAGATGCCTTAGGAAAGTGTTCCTAGGCCCAAAACACGTAATACTAAAACACAAGAAAGTCCAAAAGTATTTAACTAAACAAAAGGCTTAATGACCCAAAGGCCCAAACAACCTACTAATGCGCTCTTGGTCTTGGTGCACTTAACCCCATCACAGGCCCACTATATTTATAGGCAACCAAGAAAAAGGTTCCCTTATACAAAAGCCGATGTGGGACAACGCCACACTAACAAATCTCCACCTTGGCGTGTCCCCAACATCAACAGTAGCAAAACTGCTCCACCTTCTCCACATAAGCCCACTGGGCTCACCAACAATGAATACCAACCCAAATCAAGCATTGTTTGAACTTATAAACTGGAAGAGGTTTCGTGGACATGTCAGCAGGATTTTCCTTGATACTGATTTTCTGAATAAGGACTTTTCCCTCAGCAATAGTATCGTGAATGAAATGAAATTTCACATCAATGTGCTTCGTTCTCTCATGATACATCTGGTCTTTAGTCAAATGAATGGCACTTTGACTATCACAGTAAATAGTAGTAACACCTTGATACAAACTAAGTTCGCCAAATAGACTCTTCAACCACAAGGCTTCTTTGATTGCCTCAGTCATGGCCATATATTCTACCTCCGTAATAGATAAAACTATAACGGGTTGTAAAGTAGCTTTCCAACTAACTGCACAACCGCCAATGCAAAAAACATAACCTGAAGGTGATCTTCTCCTGTCAAGATCCCCAGTATAGTCAGAGTCTACAAAACCAACCAAAGTGTCATTATTTCTTCCAAACTCCAAACTACAATTTGAAGTCCCTCGCAAGTATCTGAGAATCCACTTCACAGCCTGCCAATGTGCTTTTCCGGGACACGACATATACCTGCTAACCACACTGACTGCTTGTGCAATATCTGGACGAATACAAACCATTATATACATAATGCTGCCAACTGCGTTGGAATAAGGAACCCGTGCCATATACTCTTCCTCTTCAACTGACTGTGGTGACTGAGCAGCAGATAGTTGAACATGACTAGCAAGAGGAGTAGTCACAGGTTTAGCATCTTTCATGCCAAACTTCTCCAAAACCTTTTCAAGATAATTTTCTTGAGTCAAGAATATTTTTCCAGCTCCTCGGTCTCTTTTGATCTCCATGCCAAGAATTTTCTTAGCTGCTCCCAAATGTTTCATGTCAAATTCACTACTTAACTGCAACTTCAAAGTGTGAATTTCTGACAAATTCTTGGCAGCAATGAACATGTCATCAACATAAAGCAGCAAATAAATAAAAGAACCATCATCTAACTTCCGGAAGTAAACGCAACTATCATACATGCTCCTTGAATAACCATGACTCAACATAAAAGTATCAAACCTCTTATACCACTGTCTTGGAGACTGTTTCAACCCATATAAGGATTTCTTTAGCAAACAAATATGGTCTTCCTTTCCTTCAATTTCAAATCCCTGAGATTGTTTCATATAAATTTTTTCTTCAAATTCACCATGCAAGAAAGCTGTTTTAACATCAAGCTGCTCCAACTCCAAATCATACATGGTAACTAAAGCAAGTAGAACACGAATAGAGCTATGTTTAACAACATGTGAAAATACTTCATTAAAGTCAATACCTTGTACCTGACTATAGCCTTTTGCAACCAAACGTGCTTTATACCTTGCATTTTCAACTCCTGGAATACCTTCTTTCTTCTTGAAGACCCATTTACATCCAACAATTTTCTTACCTGGAGGCGGCTTCACAAGAACCCAAGTTCCATTTCGATGGAAAGACTCAATTTCTTCATTCATCGCAACCAACCACTTAGCAGAATCATCACAAGAAATCGCATCTGAATAAGTAGTAGGCTCATCAACTACATCAGTTTCTTCTGCGATAGACAAAGCATATGCAACCAAATTTGCATATCTTTGTGGTGGTCGAATATCCCTCCTTGGTCTATCTCTGGCAATGGAATATTCTTCCTCTTCTGAATTATTTTCATCAGTAGATTCAGATGCATCTACTGGCACTTGTTGAATAGAAGGACCAGAACTACCAATCTCAAGCTCCACCTACTTCTGCATACTATCATCTGTTTGACAAGAACTAGAAGACTCCTTCTTGGAAGATAACATAGAGAATTCATCAAAAGTAACATCTCTACTGATTATAAATTTTGGAGTTTTAGGATCAGGACACCATAATCTGTATCCTTTCACCCCAAAAGCATACCCAAGGAAAATACACTTTTTAGCTCGAGGTTCTAATTTTCCATCATTTACATGCAGGTATGCTGGACACCCAAAAATTTTAAAATCAGAATAATCAGCAGGAATACCTGACCAAACTTTCTCAGAAGTTTTGAAATTAAGAACAGCAGAAGGAGCACGGTTGATAATATAACAGGCCATAGAAATTGCCTCAGCCCAAAAATCCTTTGCAAATCCTGCGTTAGAGATCATGCACCTCGCTCTCTCCAAAAGTGTTCTGTTCATACGTTCGACCACACCATTTTGCTGAGGCATCATCCTGACAGTGTGATACCGAACAATTCCTTCATTCTTGCAAAATTCATCAAATTCTCTTTTACAAAATTCCATGCCTTTATCTGTTCTAGGCCGCTTGATCTGTTTACATGTCTGGATCTCAATCAAAACTTTCCATTGCTTGAAAGTGAGGTAAACATCATTCTTATGTTTAAGAAAATAAACCCAAACTTTCCTTGAATAATCATCAATGAAAGTCAACATATACCTGGCACCACCCTTAGACGGAACACGAGATGGACCCCATAAATCTGAATGAATATAATTAAGAGTACCTTTCGTCTTATGAATTGCTGGAGAACTGAAGCTAACTCTTCTTTGCTTCCCAAAGATACAATATTCACAGAATTCCAGTAACCCAGTACTTTGACCGCAAAGAAGTCCCTTTTTGCTTAGTATGCCCAAGCCTTTCTCACTCATATGTCCCAAACGCATATGCCACAATTTGGTGATGTCAGAATCAGACAAAGATGATGATGACGAAACTGCAACCGAACCTATGACAGTAGATCCCTGCAAAACATATAAACTACCAACCTTGCAAGCTTTCATTACAACAAGAGCACCTTTAGAAACCTTCATAACGCCATTTTCACCTGTATATTTGCACCCAAGAGCCTCTAGGGTGCCTAAAGAGACGAGATTCTTTTTCAAATCAGGAACATGTCTAACATTAGTGAGTGTCCTCACAATACCATCATGCATTTTAATTCGAATTGTACCCTTACCAACAACATTGCAAGCGGCATTATTGCCCATCAAAACAATTCCACCATTATAGGATTCATAAGTAGAAAATAAATCCCTATTGGGACACATGTGATAAGAGCACCCCGAATCTAAAATCCATTCATTTTTAGACCTTGTTCTGTCATCAGTCACAAAGAAAATACTTCCTTCATTTTCATCAGCTGCAACACCACTTTCGGCAGTCTCAAAATTTTTCTCACCAGGTTTCCCCTTTTGTTTCAATTTAATTTTCAATTTGAAACAATCTGCCTTAATGTGCCTCATTTTATGACAATAATTGCACTCCATATTTTTATGTCTAGATTTAGATCTACTTTGATCAAATTCTCTTCTCTCAATTCTGCCCCTAACAACCAGACCTTCTGCATGGCCTCCACTAAATTCCCCATTAATATCCCTGTCTATCTGCTCCTTAGATTTTAATGCATATTTAATTTTTCGATACGAAATTGTTTCTTTTCCATAAATCGTAGTATCGCGAAAATGTTTAAAAGATTGGGGAAGGGAACACAAAAGTAACAAGGCCTGATCATCATCATCAATTTTTGAATCTATATTTCCCAAATCCATAATAATGGAATCAAATTTATCAAGATGTGAGAGTATAGATGTACCTTCAGTCATGCGAAGCATATACAAACTTTGCTTTAAATAAAGCCGATTCTGAACTGTCTTCTTCATGTACAAGATCTTAAGTTTGTCCCACATGGCCTTTGCCGAAATCTCAGTGGCTACCTCCCGCAAAACCTCGTCAGAGAGATTTAGGATAATACTGGACCTTGCCTTCTTATCCATCTCAGCAAAATTTGCATATGTCACACCCTCTGGCTTTTTCTCAATTCCGTGTATCGCTAGATCAACTCCGTTTTGAATCAAAATGGCCTCCATCTTGAGTTGCCACATCCCGAAATTGACATTCCTGTCGAATTTCTCGATGACAGTCTTTGTTATTGTTATTGTTGCCACAAAATCCAAAGCTTCCGAAGAAGTTTTGATACCAGTTTGTTAGGTCTGGCCCCAAGAAATTGACAAAAGGATTTGTAGCAACCCCCAAAGACAAATAACAAAACAGAAATAAGTAAAACAAGAACCCAAGAATTTACGTGGTTCGGTCAAATTGACCTACGTCCACAGGCGAAGGAGGAACAATATTTTACTATGAAGAAGAGAGTACAAAAGATGCCTTAAGAAAGTGTTCCTAGGCTCAAAACACGTAAT